TTCATGTGTATTAGCATACATCTGAATGTCTCTTTGTGCATGTCTGCATGTTCGAAGTGTTTGTGGAGTGGGATGAGTATTGAGATAAGGGGACGATGTGGGTGAATGAATTAATGTGTGGAACGATCTATCGAGTGTCAAGTTGTGATTATTTCTACATCTTTGAGCTTTTGATGAATCTCCATTATGAATTTCCTCGATGCCTTCCGTATTGATGTTTGATCGTGCTTCCAACATTCGACCTAAGCTAGTTCTCATTCTTCCCTCGCAGATATCTTGGTCTAGGCAATGTTTTGAGCTATAAAATGTACTCAAGAAAGCAACAGAAATTTGCTATTATCGTACTAACTGTTACCTGTTTTCTCCTTTTTTTTTAGATGCCTATCAAAAAGCTTTATATGTTGATTGAAATGGCTGCTCAAGGAGAGCAAGGTGGAGCTGCAGAGGCAATCTTCTCTGGCAAGGAAAAGATTAAGATTTCTCACTTTTACGATTGCCTCCAGGACGTCATCCGGTTCTAATTCACACGTTTTGCCCATTTCTAATTTCCGGTCGATTTCTCGTACACTCGTATTAGATCTTCACTTTGGCGTTTGGTTTCTCCATTCCTCTTCAGTCAGTTCCATTTTGTTGTTTGATGATTTTGAGACATTGGTCGAAGGTGATGGGAGATTTTATGATGTTTGGAAACTCTTACTCGGAGCCTTGTTTGCAGTTCCATTTCAGCTATCGGTATTTTTTTTCTTCATTCTGCGGTATATTTAGAGTGATAAATATTAAGATTACACCAAGTTCGATCGAATATGTAACGTGTCATATATAAGCTTTGATTAAGTGCAATTCTATACATCAAATTTTAATTTGATTTAATTTTTACAAAATCGAAATAGTATTATTTCACATTTTAATATTGAGTACACAGAATAATTATATTTATCAAATATAAAAATAAATAATTATATTTATTTGAAAGTTCCATTTCAGCTATCGGTTTTTTTTTTTTCATTCTGCGGTATATTTAGAGTGATAAATATTAAGATTACACCAAGTTCGATCGAATATGTAACGTGTTATATATAAGCTTTGATTAAGTGCAATTCTATACATCAAATTTTAATTTGATTTAATTTTTACAAAATCGAAATAGTATTATTTCACATTTTAATATTGTGTACACAGAATAATTATATTTATCAAATATAAAAATAAATAATTATATTTATTTGATATAATAAATAATTTATTTTAACAAGTACAGAAAGTTGTGGTAAATCCATTATATTAGATGATCCTATACGTGTTTTTGGTCATTTTTATTTAATGACCTTAACGCAGTTTTTTTAATCTCTTTTTATAAGAGTGAAATTTGTGTTGCGAAATTCTGATTATATGTAAACGCGGGATCATCAAATTGCCGGCGGTGGGAAAAAAAACATTTCGATCCCTTGAACCATAACAAAGCTTTTTCATTGAAATTAACGGATTTGTTTAAACATCAAATTAAAAAATAAACTAAATTCATAATTTATGTTGGTATATAGATCATTAATGAAATATCATTTAATAGATTTAATTATTATTATTATTTAATTAATTTGAATTTTAAAATTATATAAATACAAAAATAAAAAATATTTTTTATTAGTCGTACTTACAAATGATAATACTGCTAAAGTAGCTTGATTCGTTCAAAAATTAAAAATAATTAAACTAACATATATGAATTATGAATAATTAAATTAAAGTACAACAACTAAATTTACATGTAAAATATAATATATAGATTAATATAAGAATTTAATCTTTATTAAATTATCATTATTTCGTATGCAGGTAAAAACATTGCATTTCCGATGTAAACTCTACTTTTAGATAACACCGGCATTAATACAAGGGACAGTTACAAATTTGAAAAATATATATATTATTCATAAAAACACATGAAAGATGTGTTAATTAAATAATATTATCTACCTTGATCATAATTAAAATTTGAGTGATTTTTTTTGTATATAAGTTGGAACTCTTCATTTGTTTATTGGGAATTTGTAACTTGACTATATTAAATGATGTCGCCTAGTACCTCCGTCGATGGCTGCGATTGTTAAGTGGTGTGGCCAAATCTGAAAAATCGCCAATTATCCCTCACCAAATCTAGGTTGAATGCTTTAACAGGATAGATGTATCACCAAGTTGGACAATGAAGACTTAGGATAAGCTTGTTATGGCTAACTAGAAATAGATAATCATAACATAATAAAGAGAAATAAAAATATACAAGTAAATCCTAAAATCTTATATATATAATGCTTGTTCTAGAGAGCACTAGGCAGGGGTTCCGTTCCTCTGTCAATTGAAAAAGTTGGAACTTGCTGCTGTGTGTCTGCCTTTGATCTTACTGGGTAGTCATTGAGTGTCATAATGAATTATAGTGGGGCCGTATTTTGCTTCGTTGTATCTGCCATAGCATTGTGACTGGGTGGCGCTCTTCTGCTGCATATTGAGGGTAGTGGTGGTCTTCGTTTCTGGGTAGATATGGTATGAGGGAGGCAGAATTTCAAAGAGGCAATGGAGCCCTACTATGTCTGATTGATGATGGGTCTGTTTGCGAAGACCGTTGCTCACAATTTGATATCAAATTTACTTTCAATTTATGTTCACATATTATTTAAATCACCAGCTTTTAATAAATTAAAATATTCTAAAAAAGCAACATTAAAGACAAGCCCAACTTGAATGAAAGATGAATGGCCTACCAGCACAAAATATTTTAATTTACCTCTAAATTGTCGAACACCAACTATGAAAGAATGGGACCAATTCCTCTTTCGTTAATATTCACAGAAGTTCACAAATCACCATTTCCCAATGTAATTGATAGTTAATAAAAACAAGAACGGAAGATTTACAATCAGCATAGAAATTTAAATTATGATTATGTTTATGGCGATTACATATATTATAATCATACGATGATAGTTTCATATCAAAATTATCATATAACAATCGTTGTTATTTAAATAGTATATCGTTATTTAAATCCGCAGTCAGCATATCAATCAACAAAGATGATTTTCTTTTTTCAAATTCTGGTTCAAAATCATATCCAATGATCATACACTACGTTTCAAAAGAAGCCAAATCATGATCTAAACAAAATTTAAACATCAAAGAAGAAACTGTAAGTTGAAATCTAATCATACTTCTCTCTCCAGGAGTGAACCAAAAAGAATACACAAGAAAAACCCATCAAAATGTCACCGATCGTCTCTCTAAGCCAAATCCTCCACTCTCCTCTCGAACCAGAACCTCCACAACGCCAGAAAAACGTGCAGAATCGTGCACCCTTTGGCGAAAAACGATTGAAACTCCCTGTCCTTAACAAACGAGACCATGAAAATCAAGAAGCCGGTGGAGAAAAAGGGCAGACACGAGAAGGAACCGGAGGTCAGGATCAAGAGCTGGTCGTGCGGGGTGGAGCCGAGGAGCTTGGTGGCGGTCTCTATCCCGTGCGTGAAGGCGTACATCTCCTTCATGTAGAACATCATGAGTGCGCCGCTTGTTAAGGCGAGTGGAGCACGCAGATCAACCTGAAAGCCGATGACGATGTTGACATTTTGTGGGTGGGTGGGTGTGTGTGATTATGAAATCGATCAGTGTGGGGGCTGTTAAGGGTTTCATGAAATAGGCATTGTTGTAGTGGAATTAAATCTTATCCCCAAATTCATTTTGGGAACGGAAGAAACAAGAAGAAAAGAGGAAGACGAACAGCAAAGCTATATTACGTTTGAAAATGGCCGAAAAATACAAAAATTAAGCTAATTTCAGCTAACGCCAATTTGTCGGTTTCTTTAGAATGCGGTTTGAGAGTTCCTCGTAAAGGGTAAACTATTCATGTGACTACTTAACTATTATCTCTTTTCATTTTGACCATTAATTTTGAAATGCTATCAAATCAGATCACTTAATTATTTAAGTGTGTCAGTCAAATGATTTATTCATAACATTTAAAGAAGGAGGTGACGTATTTGTTAAATAATTGGTATAATTATACATTTGATCTCTAATATTTACACATTAGGTATAAAATAAAATAACTAAAATTAAGAAAATATACACATTTCATCATCTAACTGCAAACTAAATTTATTCAATTGAACTAAATTAGAAATGAATTAATAGAATGTATAAATATTAAAAATCAAATATGTAATTATACCAATTATTTTAATAGTTATCTCCTTTGACTATTAATGACAAGTGACATACATATATAGTTAAGTGATCTAATTGATAAAATTTCAAAATTAATGTCAAAATGAAAAGAGATAATAATTAAGTGGTCATACAAACAAGATTATCTTTTGGTAAATTGGTCAACCAATGTTTATGTTGCTTTCATTTTGATCACAAAAAGTCCGCTCAATTAAATCATTGCCATTATAACAATTGTTCATTTTAGTTACTTATACATTAACCAACAAACAAATCTTCTAATAGATGTTCGCATTACCTACAATATCGTTTCTTTGAGAAGTATGCACACAGACACTATAGACACAGTCATTCAGAGAAGTACACACACTACATGCACAAATATTCGAACTTAATACCTCAAAAGAGAACAACACATATACGTTGAATTGTAGAATATAATATGAATCAAATACTGAAGGAGAGATAATTTAGAACGTCACAAATGTTTCAACAAATAGGAAGAAAAGGGTAAGTCTTCCTAATCCTAACTAAAAAATTAGGAGATATTGGAAAAAGCCAAAGTGGAAATAGAATTGAGGAGAAAAGCCATAAATCCATGAGGTGGTGCGTTCTAACTATCCCACAATGGTGATCTTATTACGTGAATTAGACAAATCAAGCCACTGCCAATCCCAGAAAACAAGCACACCCTTATATCAAGTAGAAACTGAAACAAGAAGAACAACAATGCCGATGTCAAACTTTCATCGACTTTTATTAAATTTTAATTCCAAAATCACAACAAAACAACAAAATGCAGACCAAAAATCATATATATATATATAAAAGAAAAACTATGTTTGATGTGTATATATATATACAACAAAAAAATTGAATCAAAATAGACAATTGCCAAAGTTAAAATGTAACCAAAAAGAAGGGAATCTGTAGTTTCTACGGAACAAAACTTACAACACTCCTAATTTGCCTCAGCAAAAACATTTCAACTCGAAATAATTTCCTTGCCGACTTTGTGATGACGCCTAGAACCCGACCTCCTATCCCTTCCGCGTCTCGGTAAGATCTTCCGGAGTGGATCATTGGCCGAATGTAGAGGTAGTGGTAGCGGTGGAGGGTAAATGGCTGGAGGAGTTAAATGCGCTAGAACATCCTTGTGGTACTTCTGCAAGTAACAAATAAGGCAATGAGTAAAGTAGGTCGCTCAAGAGAATCAACCATTTTATTCGATCTAAAATTCGATAGTTAGATTCTAGGTTCTAGAACAAATCCAAGCATGGTATGTGTATGACACAATATCATCCAAATCCGAGAATGATATGCGCATGACATAATATCATCCAAATCCAAGCATGGTATTCGCATGACACAATATCATTCAAATCCGAGCATGGTATGCACATGACACAATATCATCCAAATCCGAGCATGGTATGTTCATGACACAGTATCATCCATACAAAAAACAACAGGAACATGTTCAACATAATATGCAGTCCAAGAACATTTCTATTATTCAACGAGAATTCTATCATATTACTTAACAACATTGCTAAAAAAGTAAATACCTGAACGACAAAGTTGCGCCGTTCACAGTCCAAGAACATATTCAAAGTCCAATTCGTCTTCACTGCAATCTTATCCCTTACTGTCGAAAAACTAATCTGGTCTCTTGAAGTAAAAAGGTCAACTTCATTGAACCAAAGACAAGTGAAGAGGTTGTTAATAGGAACATGTTCCCTTATTAGTACACATCCTTCAGGAACATCTGCAAAACAGGCCATTGAAGCAAACCTCGGTTAAAGCTAAAACAAGACAGAATCAAACATGACAACATACAAAGAAGTATCTCGGGCCGTACCACTCGTGATAGGAAGTTTTGCTTCGGAATATGGGGTCAAACCCTCTTTTTTATAAAAATTGACCTGAAAATCAATGGAAGCATTATCATATTTGCCTGCAGCTTTATTTGCCTCGGCCTCGTCAAAAACATCAAAGCGTTTATAATGCCTAGAAATTGCAAATGTAGCATTTTTTCTCCACAAGAACCTGAAGGAATACTTGGAACAGTTAGAATAAACAAACATTGAGGCCGAAACTTCTCGACATTGCAGTATTCTTGAGAGTAATCGCAGTGTTGTAATTTCAACATATGATAGTTAGATCTTATTAATTTGGAAGGCGGATGGAATTCCAAATTACCTCTCTAGAATTTGATATGGATCAACAACAAGCTCGAGTTTCCCATCAATCCATAAAGAAAATCGAGCATTCGGAAATAGCCTGTGACTTAGAAGCTTTGGGATCTGTTACAAGCAAACCACAAGTCAAAAGGCATCAAGTTGATGCATTGTCTCAATATCTCATTTCTCGGTGCCATTCTCAAAGAGTGAATCAATCAATGTGAACAATATTCATCATAATCTACTAAAAACTCGGATTCTCTAACTCAGATCTAAACTCGGAGAACATATCATCTGTATTCTGAACATTTACCTTTCCGTTGCGCCTTCCATCAGCGTAAGGAAGATTACGAACAACAACAATTCTCCATACTCCAATCTTCTTGCTCTCATCCAAGCCACCATTTGCTTTCAAATCAGCCTCTGTCTCTTCATCGACAAACATATAGAAACAGATAGTTTGCTTGGAATATTCACTAATGTTCTTTGGCTGTTGTATAATGTCGAAAGCTCCTGAAAATGAATCAGGTTATTCAATAAAAACCAAGGGTCTCCAGTTCAGAAACTGAACAATAAGATGAATTATAGTACAATTCTGGGTACCAAATATCGCTGATGCAACCACCACTCCATGACATTGCTCCATCTCGAGAAGATCATTGTCATCAATGTCAAATCCTGTCCCATGGCCAGGTTTGCTTCCTTTGACAAATCTGGAAAACACGATACACATCGATCGAAAGTACTAAATAGGTAAACTTGCAAATATAACACAAAACTAAGAGTACCAAATCATATTTACTTTTAAACCCTAAAAAAGAAGGAAAAAAACCATACCCACAATGCACATTCATCGACTCTCTTATGTCATATGAATCATCCCGTTGCTTCAAAGTAGGATACCCACCAAAATCCGAACCACCCAATTCATTCTCTTTTTTAAAGTTTTCCTTGTAAATATATGTTAAATTCTTAAGTACTGGAGAAAATGATGGAACTTTTGGCATCAAAGCAACAGCTTCTTCCACCGAAAGGTAACATACAGGACAAGCTGCGACAAAAACAAGCAAGAAAACTCAGAAACTAAAGTTCAATGAGGCAAAACCAGAAGGTCCAGAACTAACAATGTCAAAAAAGAATAAGAAATAATTTGAGAAATTTACTAAACAAAAGAATGCTTACGACGTGGTCCCGTTCTTTTCTTATCTGCTGGTGGAGGGGGTAAAATAAAAGTGTTGCATGGATGCCCTGGTGGAAGAGTGTAGCCAAGAAAATATGGAGGAGGAGGGGGCATTACTCTAACATCGGCTCCTTCAACACCATCACTGGCTAGTAAAGTTGTCCAATTGTCTATTTTGACACTTTGCACTTCGTTTATCAGGGGAAATCCAGAAATATTAAGATGCAAGCTATCATTTATCTTACTGATATTGTCACTTTCCTGGTATTCACCTGTATACAAGCCACAGTCAATTCAAAATTCGACTATCAATTGGCATCTAGAATTCCAAAACCAAAACATAGAGGGGAGCAAACTAAATTAGCTTGCACTAGGATCTAACACTCATCAAAAACTAGACACACACACACACATATATAAAATCCAACATAAACTATGAATCAGAAAATACATTCAAAGTTTGTAAAGGAAGAAAAGCAATTCAATTGAGTTGAATGATTAACATTTTTTCCCTCAACAGAAATAGAGTTCATGAGCAAGCTTATAGATGTCTAGTTTTTTATTCAAACACACTAACCAAAATGGAAACATTAAGTCCAAGTCTAATCAATGTAAACCCAGAATTTGGACCACTTCTTTCATTAAAAAGAATCAGAGCAACCACCCTAAAAATTCACTAATTTACTACCCTTGATTTCCAAAAATTCAACAAGAACAATACATCAATGATGAGCAACAAAGGGAAAAAGAAACCAACCTTTGCCGACATACAAGACCCAAACAAAAACAGCAGCAGAGATTAGACAAAGGAGCAACATTCCAACCTTTTTGCGACCTGCAAACTTACAGATCCAATGAACAAATGTCTCCTTCTCCTTCAAAACTTTAGAAGGCTTAGCTCTTATCGTTGTAGGCGCTTGAACTGGCAACAAAACGCCATTTTGTAGCTGTTTATCCAAAGAACCATAACTCCCAGAACGAATCCCCAATGACCCTCCAGTCATTGTCTCTTTATCAACAACCCCAATTCACTCCTCTCATCAAACTCTTACTTGAATCAAAAAAAGGAAAAATAAACCCAGAAAACTATAACTTCAAAAAACAATCATACAACTCAACAACAATGGCAAAGAACAAGCCGCCAACTCAGATTGAAGTCAAATGCAGCTCAACAATAAAAAAGAAGCAAAATTTGATGAAAAAAAAATCTCGGTTTTTTAAGTTTTTGATTGGTCGATAATGGGTTATGTGAAACCGAGTGAAATGGGTTTTCCGATCAAATCTCAGTACACAATTTTCGAGTTAATAACATCTTTCTTATGTTTTGATGGGGGAAGCTCATAGTTTAGAGACATATCAACAATTTATGACCTGGTTGTGATTAAATCTTAACCGTTATTTTTCTTGATATCATGATGTTGAATAATCGAACGGTCTTGACTTGGTGTTGGATTTTATGATTTTGTGATAAAGTAGACTGTACTGTACCGTAAAAAACCTAAGAATGACGATTGTCAAACGCATTTAAAGTTTTTTACATAATTTGCCGGTTGGATTAACAACATAATAAGATTAAGACAGCACTTTGTGAACTAAAAAATATGTCTTTTCATTTTTTTCCAGTAAATTTGATTAATAATCTAAAGCAATAATCATTGTTTTTCATTTAACTTTTAAATGATTTTAAAAAATTTAAATGAATGCAATGAAATTATTTTGATTAATTTCATTAAGTAATCGAATTGACTTAATTTCCTATATAATAAATATTAAAATTTTATTCTTTATAATTCAAATAGGTATTTAATTATCGAAAGTTGTTAACTCATAATAAAGATTATTTTTTAATAAGTTTAAGTGATTATAAGATAATATTAATATTTTTTTTAATTGTTGATAATATAACACCTGATAAATATGATGATTTGAAACGAAAACATGTAAGGAAAATAATATTATCTATTATCGCTAAGAAATCTTGAAATTATTGTATCTTTTCAACATGCTTATTTTCTTTATTTTTTTTGCATAATGACTGGCTGCGACTTTTTAAAAAGAGATAAATAGTAAAAATCATCACAATCCATTATATACTGTTGACGCTTTCTATTTTAGATATTAAATTTGAAATATTGAGAATAAAAGATGAATTTTTACCATTAAGCTCCCTATTTTACTTTAAAATATAAAATTTTCTTTTAAAGCAAACACATAAATATGTATGACAGTATGTTATGCTTCAAACCTAAAAAAAAAATATTTTTAGGGATTTTTTTTAAATATTTAAATTATTATTTAATGGAGCAATAATTGTCATTTAATTTAATGAATTAGAAGAATATTTTTGCCTAATGTAGTAACTTTAAATGTCATTGATATACTTCAATTTTTTTATAATATTAACAGCCGTCCCATGTGAAACTTGATGCTGAATCTTCTTCAAGCAAGAGCTTGAATTATTAAAATATTTGGTGAAATAATAAAATTAATTATTTTTTAGGTATAAATATTGTGATTATTAATTTTTAATAAATTTTGAATCTAATTATAATCTTACTTTTAGGATGAGAAAAATAAAATTATGAGAAAAATAAAGTTAATTATAATCTAATTAAAATAGTTGGGTTCATGTTTGGCCAAAGGATATAATTTGCACCTCAGGAATAAATTTTGCTAAATACGATCTATTTATTGAAATTGAATTTTCTCCATCTCATGCTCATGCGCAAGTAAAATTCGATTTCGCTCAAAAACTTTATTTTAATTATTCGAGTTAATTTAAATTATTGAATCGGTTTTGAGTTCGAATTGAGTTGAAATTTGAAAAATCAAAAATTTTGGTGAATATTTTGACAGTTTTACAATTTAATTCCTGATTTTCTTATTCATTCATTTTAAGTTCATTCTTTTATCAAATTTGAACCAAATACTCTCAAATCATCGTAAAATACCTATTTACTTTTAATTCATATTTTTATAATAATTTTATACATTTTCAATTTAGTCTCTTAGCTTTGCATGATTTCCTTATTTCTTCAATTCATCCTTCATTTTAAATCAGTTTTTGACCAAATTTGAATAACATGCTCCCCTACTATAACAAAATACTCATGTAACTTCAATTCTTTTTTTTTTTACTAAAAATATACTTATTTTTCAATTTATTTCATTAACTTTGTATTTTACTCAATTTGATCTTTTGGCTATAGTTGTTTACAAATTCTTTCTTCTCATCAATTTCTTGGATCATTTATACTCACATCAATACTTTACCCTCAAAATACATTCTTTAAAATATAATATTGTAGATATATTCTATAATTTTAAATTGTATTTGACGTATTATATATATATATATATATATTATGATTAAAGAAAGTTGATAAATTGGAATTAATATACATCATAATACCATAAATAATTAAAATTAAATTTGTATAGAAATTTGAAAACATGACTCGGCTCTATTCGAATTTAACAAACTCGACTCGACTAAAAAAATTTCAAGTTAAGTTCTAGTTATAAAACACGGCTCGTCAACTCGAATAACTCAAAATTTTTTGACTCGGCTTGAACTCAAAAATCGAATTGATAATTCAAGTTGACTAGAATAATTCAGCTCGAGTAATGAATGTAAAACCAAATCTAAAGCTTAATGCAAAAATAAGTGTCCAAACTATACTCAAAACTAACTTTTTGTGCCTAAAGAATTCTTTGTTAAAAATAGGTGTCTAACGTTTTCTCTGTTACACTTTTACGCGTCTACTATTAAGTGACAGGTGTCATTTTTTTTAAAAAATGTAAAAGCGACATGTGTCACTTAACGATTTTTTTTCTAACACAATCACACTATGTGGACAAGATCCATGAGAAATTTAACAAGGATTATTTTGATATTGTCATAACTCCAATAGACTTATGTGTACATTTGTCTAAAAATCAAGGTGAAAGTGTTCACCAGGTGAAATATGCAAGGGTCATAGGTAGCTTAATGTATCTCATGAGCTGTATGAGACTAGACATTGCTTTTACTGTGAACAGTAAGCAGATTCACGAGAAATTCAAATGAAAATCACTGGAAAACAATAAAAAGGATACTGAAATATCTTAGATATACTCGAGATTATGGGTTGCATTATTCCAGAGATCCTGCAGTCTTAGAAGAATACTCTGATGCTAGTTGGATATCTGATATTCAAGATACCAAAGGTACAAGTGGATATATATTCACTTTAGGAAGAGGATTAAACTATTATAACTATATCCACAATGGAATTTGAGTTTGTAACTCTAGATAAATTTGGAGAAAAAATATATTGGCTTCGAAACATTCTTGAGGATATTGCAGAAAGGGAAAAATCTGTGCCCACAATATGTATATACTATGAGAATCCAGCAGCAATTGTTAGAGCACGTAATTTTATGTATAATGGTAAATTGAGATATATGCGTCGTCGGCACAATACCATTAGGCAACTGATCTCAATTTGAGTTATCTCTGTTGATTATGTAAAATCAAAATATAACATCGTAGATTCGCTAACCAAAGGGTTAAATTGAGATCAATTTGAGAAAACATCTAAAAGAATGAGACTAAAGCCCGTGAAATTTAAAGGCCTTATGTGAAGGAAAACCCTAACTTGTTAACTGGAGATCCTAAGATCTAGGTTCAAAGGGACAATCTAATTGCATAAACCGTGTACGGTCACTGTAGGGATTTCTTATCCCAAGTTCGTTCCTATGATGTAAATAGTGATCAAAGTGGTATAGGCTAAGCTAGGCTTTTAATGACCATTGTGTGTCGCGGTGAGCCGAGCAACATAAGTCACATATATGAGAGTGAAGTGGGGTCGCTTCAAGGAGACTATCGGGCATAGTTCTCTCAAACTCTTACAGAACCAGGCCATGTCCATGGCTTTTGGGTCATACCAATGATAACCAAATTTTTGTCAGATGGGTAGTTGTGTGAAGTATGTCGTCGTTTACACAAACGACAGAACAGTTCAAGGACATCGCGTGTATTGTTTAACCAGTAAAGTAAATAAACTTTCACAAGGGAAGGTTCAAAGGAGGAAACATATCTATCATATGCAACTATCGATCGTAAAGGCTATCACACATCGAGTCAAAATATTTTTTGATTAAATCATCAATTTCATTTATGTAGGGGATTGTTGGAAAAAGGAGTGAATTAAATCGATGGATTTAATATTTATATTAAATTCAGGAGGAAATATATGTTTAATATTTAAATTTAAACAATATTATTATCTATTTAAATTTAGATATTAAAAGAGTTTTGGTTGGAGTAAAACTCTCAAGTTTAGTAATATAAATTTAAAATATATTATAATATATTTTTAGATATTAAAAGAGTTTTAGTTGGAGTAAAACTCTCTCGAAATTCTCCTATAATTACTGAGTAATCCTCTCAGTTTTTTATATCTCATAATTCAAGAAGTATTCTTCACTTGAAAATATTTTCTCATTCTTAGAAATTGTTTTTTACTCCCTTAGTTTTTCGGTGATAGTTAAAGGCAAGGAAAATTCGTGGTCACTAATGTTGTGCTATTGTAGTTCATCATTAAGTTGTTGTATCCTGTTAGACAGACGACCAAAAGATCTCGAGCACTAAGGAGTGGCCCAAACTTTGTCTTAAGAAAATTGTGTAGCGACAGACCTCAACTGATTCCGGTCACAAGATCAAATATAAAAGAGTATTTTTTTAATTTCCTTTAGAATTCTCTTTATTTTAAAGAATTTGATTTCTTTCTTCTACTTTTTCTCAGGTTCCATTTTGTCTCGGATTGTTACTCTGGTTAACAATACTATCACTTTAACTCGTGCTAAATAGGTATGAAATTTATCAATTGCAAACACTATATCAAACAACTCCATTTTAGAGTTGCAGTCAATGCGTGACTAGCATTGTAGATAGTGTGAAAAAAACTTTGTTCTCCTTTGCCCAGGGACAACACTTACATCAAAGTTGTTAACATTAACTTGAATGGTAGTGTTCAATTGCCATCAAATGTAAAAGGACGATCATGCTCTAGCAAAGAACAAAGTGATTCTATTATGACGGGAAAATTCTTGGTAATCGTGGGTAGAACCACGCATAGTCAAGGAAACTTCTAATACTCTTCGCATGGATTGGTGGGTGCAACTTCTCAATTACCTCATTCTTCACTCGGTCTACTTTTATGCCTTTGAAAGAAACTTTGTGCCCTAACACAATTTGTTCTTGCACCATAGAATAAGATTAGTTTCTTCGCAATGCTATAACACTTTTGCAATATTAAATAAACTATCATC